GAAATTTGATTTTGAAGGGTAGCAGAGAATTTAGGTGTTGGCTGGAGCGAATACGGGGTCACAAGAGGGTTTTATTTTGATTTGATTTTAAGTTGGAAAATACTACAACATGTGTGCAAACTCTTGGCAATGATGCCGTAAGAAAGGCAGAAATTGATGATACTGAAGAGAAGAGAAGACAGAAGACCTGATGGAGATCAGAAGGAATGGGCCCTAGGGCATGTTTGGAGGAACTAGTCTTTGTTCAGAGGACAAACACACACCCCCATACCTCTGCAACTGATATCATAGGTTAGTGTAAGACTCTGTACCTATTCCTATTATCTTATTGATTTTCACCAAAGTGCCAATAGGCACAGGTATTTTGCTTCCAGTCTCCCTAAGTTTGCCTCCTTCTTTTTCCCCATGTTTCAACCTTTGGACCTCTGCACTTGATCTTCCATGAAGCTATCCTTCTGGGGTTCTGATAAGTCTCTTTCTAGAAACTTATCTTCTGTTCCCTTCTCCCAGCTTCTAAAGATCTGAGTCATGTCTTTTTTCTACTGGAGGCACTGCCTGAAGGCTGAGAACTAACCTGGGACAGCTCGCTCTCTCCTGGTTCACTGCCACTTAACCGGCAAAGGCAACGTCCCCTGAGCATCCATCCACAGCCCACGAGAAGTGCCAGGCTTGGCTTCCAGTAGAGCTCTGGTTTCCCTAGAAACTTCCTTTCTGGTGGTTCTTGGCTCACCTATTTTCACCAGTGTTCGGAATTCATTTGAGGATGACTGTGCTAAAAATTTTTCAGTATTACATACCCCAAAGATATCCACCTCTCTCAATCTACTACAGCACATGATATCCATGGACCTACTATGTGTTCTGCTAGCCACTTCAAACATATTATCTCACTTATTCCTCGAAACACCCTGGGAGGGAGGTATCGTTAGTACCATCTTATGAGTTAAGAAACTGAGACTCAGGAGTCCCTCAGCTAATAACTCAGGGGGTCTGGATTTGAACTCACATCAAACTCTAAAGCCTAAAACCTCCCCACTTTTGCCAGGCTGTGAATTAGGTGGCAGTGCTCTCCTGGCACATCTTTTCAGCCACCATTTTATTCCATGTAGGTTCCACCTCTCTAAATCAGCAGAGATTGCCGTGAAGAAAAATACCAATTCAGATCAACTGCTGTCCCCACCCAGCTCAAGGCCTGACCCAGTAGCCGCCCGCCTACACAGCCCCTGGCTGTGCTTCCTTTTTGTGAGAAACCACTCCACTCTGCGATTTTAACCACCCTGTTCAATCTAAGTGATGGAAATAAGATGGAGGTGGAATTATTTTAACTCCCTCGTAAATTTTTTGACACACTGTGAAAAATGACGTTGTAGAAGAGGACTTGTCTATGTAAAAGTGAGGGATAAATAATGAACTTCAGAACAAGGAAGAAATGACACAGCCATGATGGGAAATGGGGCCATCACGGTTGGGACATGCCCTGCTCATGCGTGCATGCGGGTTGTGGGGAGGGACGTCCTCCTGCTGTAGATGCTGGAGAGAGCCAGTTGTACCCAAGCCACACCAAGAGAAGAAAGATAGCTTTATGCAAAAGAGAGCAGCAGAGGAGAGCTCCATGGTAAGAAACAGAGATGGGAGTGAACCGGGGGTGTTCAGGAGGCCTCACAGCTTGCTAGCGGCACCGAGCCTAGAACTGGGGCCGAGGGAAGCAGCAGCAGGAGAAAAGGACAAGGCGGGCAGAGAAGCTGCGGACAGACTTAGCAAACCTCAGAGGGCCAAGAGAGAACAGTAAGGGCTTTCTTTGAAGCCAGATAAAGGAAGTACAGAGGCAGACTAAGAAGTGATTGATAACAATTAAAGATTAGAGCAGGTACCCATCTCATTCCACTTGACATCCTTTTTTCAACCAGGAGTACAGAGTTAAGTTGTTATAGTACAATTTACACTTCATTCTAGTTTAATAAAGAGGGCTCTGATTTTTTTTTAAAGCAGATGTGATTTGATTATGTGCTAATCTCTGCCCAATTAATAGTGTTACTCAGACTGTCTCCAAAGTGCATCAGAGCAACTAGCGAAAAAGGCAGAATGAAGTCAAATCTGTTTTCGGAATCAGGGGGCGTACCTGGGGACACTTGATTTCACAACCTCTTTGTGACATTCAAACCACCTTGTGTGCACAGCACAGGCCCAAGACAATGACAGCCAGATTTTCAAATCTAGCTCCTCACAGACCTTTCAGCCTCCACAGAGGCAGGAGAGGGTCCGGTGGGGAGGTTTGTCTAATTAACAGCAAAAATGTGGGAGTAAAAACTCACACCACAACCCAAACGCTTCATCACCCTTCACACAAGTTTTCTGCACTAAGCAGTCTGTAACGTGCAGCTGCACAAGACAGAGGGGACGAGGACAACGGAACGCTCACCAAACCAGGGTGCGTGTGCGTGCACCGCACACGTATACACACGGGCGTGACACACACAGTGTGCATGCACATGCATGCAGAGTGCACAGCATTCAGGGCACACCTATGCTGATGCAAGATTTGGTGAAGAAGAGAACAAATCTAACCTCAGGAAATGAAAAGTTTAAAATGAAGGTTCTCCATCCATTGTTACCTGAAATCACCTGCTCCACAGCAAGGTCATTACCATAACTATTACTGTTAATATTAATAACAAAAATAGTATTTGCATAACACTTTACATAAATTATCTCATTGGGCTTTGAAAGATATTTTGTTAACATTTCCAACAAACAGCCAAGCTACAGGGAACAAAAAGAAATAATCCTTTTTATCCTGGGCTCCCAGGCTGTCACTGAAGACCCTTTTATTCTTTTCCCCATGTTTCTTATTTTTAACGTGTTTTTGTCTAATCGACAACCTTTGTTAAAGACTATTCCATTTCCCTACCTTTATGCATCGGAGAACAATCAGTATGCAATAATCCTCATTGCATCACTGAGCTAATACAATCCCATGAACTTGCTGTTTGAGTTACACTCTGAGGCCTTATTATCACTAAATGCACTAAAGTTCAGCTTTTTGATGTACTGAAGTCCCCACGACCCCCTTAAAGGACTTCCAGGGGTCTTAGGGCCTTAGGCAGGGAAACGTTGATTGAAATCTCAGATAATATTTTCTTCTTCCCCATTCTTTTTAAATTAAATATGTGCCAATAGAGGAGTTTAAAATTTTTAAAAGAAAACTCAAAATCGGACATCACAAAGCAATTATTTGGGGACACACACACACAAGAAGGAAGGCAAAGAACGAACCATTGCCAATCCTATTGCCTCACCAAACACACGTTCTGGCCTGGCACAGCCATTCCCAGCACCAACCAGCAGGGCTGGGCTCTGATGCCAATTTGCCTGACTGCCTATTCTGGCTGTCACTTCTTGCTAAATGCATGGAAAGTTTCTAAACTTCTGGGGCATTCAGTTTCTTCATCTCGAACACGGGTGCATAATAGGCCCACTTTTTAGGGCTATACAGGGCTTCTATGAGTAAATATATACAAAAAGCTTAACATAGAGCCAGCTCTGATGGCCTAGTGGTTAACGTTCAGCACACTCTCCTTCAGTGGCCTGGATTCAGTTCCCGGGTGCAGAACCACACGATTCATCTGTCAGTAGCCATGCTGTGGCAGTGGCTCGCACAGAAGAACTAGAAGGACTTACAACTAGAATATACAACTATGTACTGGGGCTTTGGGGAGAAAAAAAAGGAGCTTAATGTGGCATCTGGTGCATAGCAAAGGGGCACTACATTTTATCTATTATCATCCTAAGTACACACTTTCAGGACCTGTGGCTAGTTCCCAAGCTTTTTCAGAGGCATGAAAGGAAAATCTAGTCATTCATGAAATCTGTTTTTGTTGAACCTCTTGTTCCCGATGTTGTTGGAATAACTTCACATCTCTGCTGAGATCAAACCTGAAGCAGCACGCGTGCAAGTTAGGGATGGAGGCTGTGGAGGCAGAATGCCTCTGTTCAAAGAACTTCGCTAGCTCTTACCAGCTGGGAACAGCTGGATATCACCTGGCATATATTAGTCAACCTCTCTAAGCCTCAGTTTCCCCATCTGTAAAACAGAGATCATACTGTCTCCTGATGCTTTGGAGATTTAATGAGATAATCCCCTCCCCCTCAAAAAAATTAGCTATCGTGATGGCTATCCCTTAACATACGAAAGTCTATTTGCTGAATCTAGTCCCTGGTGCAAAATAGAAGACTTTTGAAATCCAAACACATTCTCGTTTACTAAGGCAAAGCACTTAGATAAACCGATAATTAGACTTGGATATGGAAAGCTAAAAAGAAATATTACTAGTTAATTTGTTCATTTTTCTTTTCCCCTTGCACACATTTAACTGTGGCTTCATCTTGATCTATGTCAATATACATCCACTGGTTCAACAGCTTTAACTGATCTACTTAGTCATTTCGCTGGTTGCTTCAGTGAAAAGACTGATTAGTAGTCAATTAGTTGCTGGCCAACATAGTCAGAAGCACCAAACTAGTCCTTCCCTAATGGTTCTGTTGTATCATAGGTCCTTCTGGAGACCTATGAAGAGAAGAAATTCTTTGCAAAGATGACCATCTATTTCCTTGCTCCTAAGACTGCTCAGGCGTCGCCCACGTCCAGCCCCTCCCCAGATCCCCTTCCTCAGCCGACAGCACATTTCGCCAACTTCCCTCTTCAAATCGAATCTGACAGGGAGAGGCTTTTCCTTTCTTCTTGACTCTAACCTAAAGCCTTTATAGACTTGCTCCATGCTTCTGCGGGGAAAACCAAACCCAACCTCAATAATAAAAAGTGGAAAAGTTTCCCCAGGCAGACTGTCTCTTCCGCACCTTGATTAGCCGAGCAAAATGTAGACATAAAATGCAATTGCTTTTTTTTCCCAGATGCTAAAAACGTCAGCCTTGATTTACCCCGACACTCTGACTGACTCACGGCAGACATAAATCCTTCATGCCCAACGCAATCATTTTTTGACCTGCTCAGCGGTGGAGAGAGGCAGGGCTCCACGTTTATCTTCCCGGTGCCAACACCTCGATCGCAATAACTTTTCCTTCATCTGCCCCGTGAGGAGCAGGGGCTAAAGGAGTAAAGGCAGAGAAACCTCTGTTTATTATATTTTTTCTCAAACATCCTGCAACTAGGGTTATTTTTAAAAATTTATTAAAAAGGGAAGGGAAGAGGAAAATAAAAACTATTTTTAATAGATTTATTTCCTCTCACCTGACCCACAACCTCCCTCAACACTGCTTCATCCTTGATTAGGAAAATTCAGGAACACCCTCCACTTGGACAGCAGCTGTCTTTCTGCTGTAGGAAAAAAATGTGATGCCTTTCTGCCAGATACTGTCCGAGGGCGACACAAGTGACTTTCCAGGGACTGATAGCAGAGTCATGAAAATTGCCTTTGTGGGTGGTCTGCCCAAACACAGTCAGGTGGCCTTTGGTTTGGAAGCATGGCCTCCAGAAACTTGGCGTGTGATGCACAATCCATTCAGCAAATGGGCACTGAGTGGTTAACGGGGAAGACATGGGATCTGACCTCGCATCTGCCCCTCCCTAAGCACGACTTTGGCCCAACCATCGCTTTCTTCATAATTAGGTCCCCAGATCCTTAAAATGGATCCTTACATGAGTCCCTCACCTCTTCCCCCTCAGGTATCTTGTTGTATTTGAAATGCTTTCGGCTCTCCTGAAGCAAGAAAAAATGAAAACTGATGGCACTGTTGCCCCTGCTCTCCATGGCTATGAGTTGGAACAAGGATGCCCACTGCTCCCATAAGAGATGGTCTCTCCCCTTCCAAATTCACAAAGTGTACTGCATTTGTGAGCCACCTGTGCCTCCCATGTAGCTGACGGCATCCTCTCTCCAGCCCCTCATCCACACCCCTCCCCAAGGCAGTGATGGCCAAGAGCCCTTTCGCAGTGTTCCCATTTCTCCTTTTACTCCTGTGCCTTGCCAATGAGGTTTTCTTTATCATCCTCCCTTTAACTGAGTTTCTAGACTGGGAGTTTCTTAATAGCAGAAACTGTATTCCCTTACCTGGCATATAGTAGGTGTCTAATAATGAGTTATTGAACTGGGCTCTTGTTTGCCTATAGCCCCAGTCTTCCAGCTCTTGGCCAAAAATCCTTCTATCAGAAAGACCCTCCTAAATCTTTGCAGATCCAAATGCTTGAGGATTTGCCTCCTGCACACATACGCCTGCATATCCTGATTTTCTTCTCTTTGTCTCCTTCTCTCCCAACCTACAGAGGTAAGAGTGAAATTAATTCCCGGGCCACTGGAGGAGGGCAAAGGCACACCTCTCCCATAGCTCCATGACCCCCCCTCAGCAGGCCACCTCCTCCAGCCCGCCCAGCCCCCTGCCCACCTCTACCTCCCCGTAGCTACTTTAGAAGGATGGTGACTGTTGACAGTCTCTGGGTTCTCTGGAATGTGGGCGGTCTCAGAATTGAGAGGGCAGGACACTCTGAAGGTCCGTGTGCAAAACTGCCTCCAAGCCCACAGTCGAGTGGGCCTCCAACTTGGCCTTCCAGGGAGGATGGAGCTTCAAGAAAGTTGTACCTCTTCATAGCATCAGGAATAAAGACGATTGAGTGTTAGGCACCACAATAGGCATTGGTATGAGTTCTTGTTTATCCCCAGACCACTGCAACACTGGAGACAAGTTTTCCCTAACATTGTGAAAGGTGAAGTTGAAGGTCAGCAACTTCAACCACAGCTCTCTGGTTGGGGATGGTCCTAGCAACTCTTTACCTAACCCCACAGCTTTCTCCTGGCTCCAGCTTGTCGGGGGTACCAGGGCAGGGGAGGGGTGGTCAATGTCACCAAAGCCCCTTTCACTCATGCCCAGGTGGCCTATGAAGACCCAGGCCCCATGTCAGAAAGAAAGGGAACCCTTTAAAGCAGCTATCTAGGCCCTAGCTCAAAGCATACTGCCATGCAAGCTCCGTTCTACAAATCCAAGAGGAAAGGGGAAAAAATTAACACCAGCACTTAAGATGTTATGGAAACTGTGTGACGTGCTCTGCTAGCCAGCCCCTGGCCTTGGAATCCACACATTATTTAATGGGAGGGAAGACATACCCTAAATGAGCCTGAACGATTGTTTAAGGGGGAGAGGGTGGAAGAGGAAAGATTGTCTGTGTATTTTTTTTTAATTTCTCAGACCATGCCCGTTAGTTTTGTTTCTTATTTAGGATACAGCATTAATCATGCTAATATTTTACAGCCGGGCTTCACTCTTTAGTCATTACTTTAATCAAAACCATCAGCAAACGAAGGAACACGTTACCAGGTGGGAATAACTGCTACCGCTCGCTGTTAATTACTTTGCATTTTACAGCAATCAGCAGCAGGGGCTGAGATCATAATAAATTCATGACTTATGGGCCTATAAAATCATTACCGTAGGAAAATATGTTTTATCGGGGATTCGATGGGCCGCTGCTCAGAGAGAGATTTCTTGAAGGAAATGACACCCATGAAATTAAACTGATCCTTGTAGTCAGCAGAAATGCAAATGCACAGAGAGCAAAATTTTACTGTGGAAGAAAGGGGTTGGTGGGAGCCGGGTCTGGGTGCAGGTTGAGTGGAGAGGGGTGGGGCCAAGAGGTGCTGCCTGGAAGAGGATGCGCAACTAAAAGGTTCCTAGGCAGGAAAAGCCCTTAGAGAGAGCAGAAAACGAAAAAGCCTCAATGAGCCTGGGCTGGTCCAGAGGTCTCGGTGAGGAGTCCCTTTATTGTCATGGGCTCTACCCTCTCCCATCCTTCTTTATTTCAGCCAACTTTTTCTCATTGCCTTGGGTACTGAGATTTAGGTGGGCTCAGAGGCCACGAGGATGATGATGTTAAAGGCACAAGGACAAGTCAACAAATCATCCCTGAGTCAAGAAGGGAGGAAAAGTCACTCCTTATGTCTTCTTTCCCTCCTCCTGTCCCCACCCCCAGCCCATCCTCAGGCAACTCACACAAGCTGTTGGATGGACAGCAGCCCTCCTTGACTAAGGCAACCCTGCCCCCAGCTTCTAACCCCCACTGCCACCCTACAGTCTCCAACCTAGCTGTGTGGGTCTTTGTGTTCTTAAAGGCCATCCCTGGCCTGTGGGAAATGTTCTCCAAAGAGGATAATTAAACCCCTGGTGTTTGTTTTATTTGAAGGGTTCTCTATCCTCAAACTTCTCCCAAGATGCATTCATGGCATTTGTTTGGAAGTAACTTTTTCCCTTTTCCTTTGCTTCTTCCAATTATGCTACACAAACACAGGCCTTTATTTAGTGTTATTTAAGCATGAAATTATAACAGATCCTTTAAATGCTAAGACACTAAAAATAAGTCCTTTTATCAAGGCACACCAGGTTCGGATCTAGTAGCTCATTAATTTTTCTAACTCAGACAAGATGAAAGTCAAACAAAATCCAAGAGCTTCCAATGGAAGGTTTATTCTTCCTTCCCAGGATGATCACCATCCTTGTTCATCATTATCATTATTGTTCACATTTTTAAAAGGCTGGGGAGGGGTTGTCCTCGCAACTAGAGTGAATAGCACAGCTGAGAGGAATCAACGTAATCAGAAAGATGACAGAGAGCCAAACATGTCTGAATCCCACTCTTACCACTTACTAGTTGTGGGGTCTTAGGGAATTTATTTAACTTCCTAGACCTCAGTTATCAATTCTGTAAAATAGTGGAAATTATACCGACTTTTAAGTAAAGAGTAATTGTGGAAATGAAATGAGCTTACTGTATACGTGTAACACAAAATAAAACAGTAGGCAGGTCTTCTGACAAAGTTGATCCACTTCTCGGAAACTCTCCAGCACCCTACCCCAAGGTCAGTCAAGGTAAAACCGCCAGCTCCCTGAAGGAAATCAGGATGCTGAGGAACTGGCTGGGACAACTGGCCCAGGGGAACCTTGCACAGTAGCAGCCTGGTACACGGAATGATGAATGAATGGTGTGGGTCATTTGGCCACATTCCCACCTGTCACTGTGACTTTCAGGAATATGTACTGCACTCCTCAGTCCTAGGGAGATTCTGAGCCTCATAAAAGAGAGATTTGCTTCAGGAGCAAGAGGCAGGGACAGAAGGCACCAGCCTCATCGGGACAGATGGAGAAGCCCTGAGAAGCTGAGCCAGGGCTCCAGGCTGTGTTTTCTACTTTTTCTCGTTATGGTCTCCTCCTCCTGCATTTACCTTTTTGAAACTATTGGTAATAAAGAGAAAGAGGGAGATCTCTTATCATCATCTGCCCCAGCATTCCCCCCAACCAAGGGATGGCCCCAGGCATCCCCTTGCCCAGCTCCCCCTCTCCAGAGGCAGTGCTGGCAGCCAAGTTCAGCAAGGGAGCCTGCTCTCCCTAAGCTGTGAACTGCCTTCAGTGCCAATCAAAGCAAAGCTGGACCTGCCTCCCCTCCTAGCTCCTCCCCCTAGGCCCCAGCCCGGTCCACCACCTTGGCACTAGGGAAAGAGAAACAGATGAGGACTTACGAAAAAAAGTGATTATTTCTAAGCAACAAACTAAAGAATGCAATAACCCACCAGCATTTCCTCTCTCAGGAGATCAGAGTTCAATCTGATTTTGGATCACAAGTGAAATGAGTTAGATGGATACTGACGTTTTAGCCATACACACGTCGTTGATAAGTTGTATAAGTGAGCCCCTTAGAGTGAGCTGAAATAAAACAAGGGAAGATTCAAAAGGATATGGAGTTTTCTTCTCATTTAAGTTCTTGAACTTAAACATGGAGCTGTTGTGGGACAGTGGAAAGAAGAAAAGTGCCAGAGTCAGCAGAGTCAGATTCAAAATCCTAGCCCTGACACCTAGTTAGCTCACTTTGGGTGAGTTCCTTCACTTCTCTGATGCTCAGTGTCCCCAGCTGAATTCTTGGGATTCTGCGTCTACCTTTAAGGGTAGTTGAAAAGGATTAAATGGTTCATGTTTACAAACACCTATAACAGGATAAATATTCACAAATGCTCACGATTATTACTAAATTAGCACCTTATTACTAACCTAGCACCTTGTTACTGAAAAAGCTCTGAGCAGCTATTATAATGAGTACAAGTGAGGCTTCTAACCTGTGTTAGAGACCCCAAAACAATTTGTACTATAAAACCCAATATGTGGTACCAGAACGCCGCTATCAGTGAGAACCCTTTGGCTACAAGCAGAAGACAGTTATTCTAGACATTTTCCATAGAAGACATATTTATTAAAATAGATAACATAAAGCTCAGTAACTTGACTTTAAATCTCAACTACCATTAAATGCCATTATGAGGGATTTAAAAAGAGGAGATTTTACCTTACCACTAAGTAAGCAAAGGAAGACCCAATGTTCAAGGGAAAGAGGAATTAAAGCTCCACGTTTCTCTGGGTCTTCCATGTCTTCACATTTATGCTTTAAATACGTCAGGTCATCTGGACTACCACAAAAACGTTTATCCATCACACTTAAAGAACAGCATCGAGGTATTGTTCTCCAGACATCACGCACATGTGCCATTTTCTATTTTCTATGTGCTATAACACCTTATAGGAGTTTAATAAATACACTGATTGATACTGTTTTTAATAGAAAAACTTTCAATTATTAACATTTGTTTGGGGATAAAAGTAGAGAAACTTTCCCTTGAAAGGGGAAAGGGAAGTAATGTTATCAGATATCTAGTTTGTGTCCTGCATTGTGCTAGGTATTTACACATACTTATCACACTGATCTTAACAACAACCTAGGAGGTGGGGGTAGGGGAGGGTGGTGATACTAAAGTACAAGAGCATGCCAACGTTTCTGTGTTATTAGAAGGAAGACAGAGAGAGAGAGAGAAAGTGAAGAAAGAAAAAGAAAGGAAAGAAGGGAGGGAGGAAGATAACTTTGAAAACCAATAGAGATAAATAAATCTGAGTCTGGGTCTTAAGAGAAATCATCACAAAATCAAAATTAGGAGTGTATCCAATGAAAAGCAGGAATGAAGAAAAAGGAAACAAAAAGAAAGTATAGTAAATGGAAAAAATAATCAAGATGACAGAACTAAGTTCTACCATAGTAGTAATTAGAATAAATATAAATTAATTAAACTCACTAATTAAAATGTAGAACTCTCTGATTTTTTTAATCCAACACTATATTGACTGGTAAGATACAGGTGTAAAAACACACAGACAGGTTAGACATAAAAGGATGGAAAAGACGCATTAGTAAAATATGAACTCAAAGAAAGCTTAGTAGTGATCTTAATATCTGGACAAGATGGAATTTAAAGCTAAAAAATTTGAAAGGAACAAAGAATATCACCTATTTATAAAAGCAGAAAGAAATAAAAAGAAGGTAGAGCCAACACAAACAGATGTATCTAATACAGCTTCAAATACATAAAGCCACAGTTTTCTAAACTACAGGAAGAACATTAATCAACAATTGCAGCTGTGGTGGATTTATTAGAAACCAATACAAAAAAACAGAAGAAAATAGCAGAGATATCACAAACCTAAATAACATAATTAGCTAAATTCTAGTAAGTATATAAAGAATATACATGGGAACTTTGCCTCAATAAATAGAGAATATGGTTCTTATCACATCCCAGTTCCAATGATGGACAACATATTAGACCATTAAAGCAATTTCAATAATTACTAAAGAACAGTATCAAACAGACTATGTTCTTCAACAATAATGAAATAGAATTAGAAATTATCTACAAAAGGATACCTTAACATATTTGGAAATAAAACCACATTTTATTAAACAGTTCTTGGGTTAAACAGGAAATGATAATTTAGAAACAGGAAACTTAGAAACATTCAGGACTGAATGAAATTAAAACACCACCTGTCAAAAT